TATTTAGACTAGAAACAAATGTAGATTCTACACTTGTCATTACTAGTATCTAAACTCTCTTATCTAAAGGCATAGTCACAATAGGCTTCTTTTGTGACTATCCTTCCTTCCTATCTGGTATTCCTCTCAGGGTACTCCTTTTTGACATTCCCTTTTTTCAGCTAGCAAAAGCTACTTCTATCTCCTCTATTGTAATGGCATTTCTAACCAAATCTGAAATGATAGTATGTTGTTGCATCCCAATCATGGCCCTAATCTCCAATCTCAGTCCATCCTTAAACCATCAGCACTTCTCTACCTCATCTACTGCAAAAGGCTGCTCAAATTTGGACAATTCTATGAGTTTTGTCTCGTAATCTGCCATAGTTATGTTTTCTTGCTTCAAGTTTAAAAATTCCCTTTTCTATTTGTCCTGATATACTATAGAAAAATATTGTTTATCAAATTTTACCTTGAACTCTATCCAACTAATTACTTTTCCTATTGGCTATCTCACATTATATGTCTTCTACCATTGTAATGCTTTACTTTCCAGCAAGAAGTTAACACTTTGCACCCTCTACTCAGTGCAATCCTTAAGGTCAAGTTTCTTTTCCATCCTCTGAATCCACTCTTCACCTTGGATAGAATCAATGGTACTGTGGAATTCAGTGGCTCCTAGTTTTCAGGCTCTTTCTAGGATTTTCTCTCCCTCATGTTTTTCTCTTTGGGTAGCTGAGTTAGAGGCTTTAGATACTACTACTACCTATGCCAACATGGTCACATACTCTGGTATTAATGGGGTAACTGGTGAGGTTGCTGTCTACGATACAATGTTGGAATAGGTAGTTTTCTAAGTGTGGTAGTTAGCATCTACAAGGGATCCACCTCCCCCGAGGCTAATGATGAAATGCTGGATGCTTCCTTAGGAGGTTGGCTAGCTCTTTCCTCTCTAGTCTGTCTACCTCTACCTCTGCTTAATGTCAATCATATTTCCTACAATATTCATGAATTGTGCTCATTAAAATGCAATGCTCATGTCTACACTCTGCATGAGACTAACTCTAGTACTCTATAGTACTCTAACTCTACTGACCTACCACCTCTGATCTGATACCAATTAAATTGTCACACCCTGCCCCCTGACCAGCCAAGCGAGGCATGATAGTGGGCAGTGCCCGACACTCCACTATGCTATGAAAACACAACAAAGTATCGAGCACTGTAACCCTTGTCATATTTAACTCAAACAAAATTTAAGTCTAAAAATCTACAGGTCTCAAAAATAATACTGATGGCATAAATTGAAAATAATAGCTATGAACTCATAAGCATAAATTATCACATGAAGCTTTGTTTGCAAAAAGAAGCATTTCTTTTAAATGTCTCCCCCACTTGTACTTTTTACACAATCAATCACATCTCTCTCAAAATAAATAAGATTATACACAGACTCTATATACTCTACTAATAGGCTCAACCTCCAACTAGAATGCTCTAAAAGTTTGATGCAGATGATGATATACTGTTACACTCTAACTAAATTTGCTTTGTATGTGCATGATAAGGAGAGCGGTAAGACTTTTAGCTTGAATACATCAAATATTAAAAGCATAAAAACAATCACATAAAGAAATACTTGTAATTTTTGATGACTACAATGTATAAAAGCTAGACATAGAGAAATAATTTAATTTCTAGTACACTACAGCGTTTTGAAGCCATACTAAAACATGGAACATAAAATAACTAAAAATCATAAATATCAACTGTATAACAGATACATTTAGTCTAGTGTGCATAGTAGAGTAATTTTTTTCCTGTGGATTGTAAAATATAAAATAGTCTAGCCCTTACCTGGGCAAAAATTTGTTGGGTACTACTACATTATGTAACTAGTACAGTGAGTCACCACTTTACTGCCAAATTGACCATGTTTGTAGTATTTGCGATCCCATTGGGTCGTATAAGTCATGTAAATCTACCACTTGCCGAAGTGACTACCCTTACATGGCCTTTCTTACTTGTCTCAACTCATTCATTTCTCTACCCTCCTTAGGAGGTCGATAACTATCCAAAAATATTTCTTGAACACACTATTTCTTCTCACAAATTTTTAGTACTTATACTATTAATGTATCACAAAAGTTTAGATGACGAAATCATCACTTAAGCCCTCAATTATTTCTCCAATTCATTAGTTAGCTTATACCATACCTTAAGCCATTTTCTCCATTCATTAGTGCTTCCATGTGACCACTCATTCTTACCCTTTTATAGACAATCTCATGCCCTCCTTATGAGGTTTATAGTTACTCCAAAATATCTCTTAAACATCCAAGTTTCTGCACATTGAATTCAACATATCTACTTAGTAATTCATTATCAAAGTTTAGGTAGCCAAATCGTCGATTTGGCCCTTAATTAACTTCCATTTTCTTAACAAATATTAGCTCTTTCTTAAGCCATCCTTAAACCCTAAATTAGGATCAATTTTAGCACCCAAAATTTTGGCCAAAAAGCTACTACTTGCTGAATTTTCCTTTCACTAAACTAATCTCACTTTTAAACCTTGTTTTACCTTTATATCTTAACAACATCTTAACCCTAATCCTTTCTCTTAATTTCAGCAGCACCTCCCCTATTTTTAGCCATCAAACTATCACTAAATCTCAAGATTAAACCATAGGAATCCATAATCTCTCAAGCCTAAGAAAAGCCCTCAACTAATTTTGCAAAACTTAACAAAATTTTTTACAAACTTCCTCCCCTCATAGGGTTCGGCTTCCCCTCCCTTTCCAATACTTAAAACAGCCCTCAAATCATGATTCAAACCATACAAATGTAGATAATCTCAAGCCAAACCAGAATCTCTAACTAATTTTTCCAAAATTTTAACAAAACAAACAAGAAATCAAGGAAATCAACTCACCTTAGGGTTCGGTTGCAAGCCCCTCCTTCTCCCTCCTTTTTCCTTCTTCTTTCTAGCTTCCAAATAAGCTTGTCCAAGGCCTTATATACCCCTCCAAAGTTGGCTACAAGAGGCGGGCAAACATACCCTTGTGAAATTATCATTTTGCCATTTCTTTTCCATCCATGCCCCTTTGAGCTACTTGTTTCTCAAAATTACTTTTCCACCCCTTAAGCATTCATTTAATGACTCGCTTATCCCTTGAAATTGATGATTTAAAACTAAAATTATGCCATTAATTAATCTCACTATTTTTACTTAGTTAAAACTCACTACTTTCACTTAAATTATAGGTTTTCTTTGCAAATTCTTGCCTCTCTTTCTACTCTATTTCCATCACCACAGAATAGTCTTTCGTTCATGTCTCTCAAATCTATATTACCATTTCTCAAGCTTATTAACAAGGAAATTACATTAACTTTCATTTGATTACATTTTCCTATGCACCATGCCATGAATGTCAATGCTTGTAGAAATGGTACAAAAATACATAAATAAAGTCATTGAGGTTGGTTCTGGGTTTGAAATGTTACATAGGAAAAATGGCGAGGGGGTTTGGAATGATTCAGACGCATGCAATTTAGTCTAGCGAGCTTCTTCTCCAATAAGCCATGAGCTTCTTCTTTAATAGGAAAGTAAATACAGATGACAGTGAAGATGTGGAGAAAATGAATAATGCACTGCTGCAATTGATATCTTCTAACCGTGTATCAATTTAGCTCTACACCTCTTAATTTCAATACTTCACTCCTTATATTAACTTCTTAATTTTTTTTTATTCTTTTTACTAGCCTATAATATTTTAATTTTTTCACATAAATCTTATTTCAAAAAGAATATAAAAAATAATTTTAAATATAAATTTTATAAATATACACCAAAAAAATAATATTTTAAAAATATATTTTAATTTTACAAAACACATTTTTGAGATAGTAAAAAAACACCACCCTACTTCTAAGATAGTAAGGAACGCCACCAAACAGTTTAAAGGCGAATCGCGTTTCCTTTCCCTCCCAATTACGAACCAAAAAATCTATAGTCAAGCCAAATTGTAATTAGTTCAAATTTCCTCCTCATTTGGTGGCCTCACTGTTACATTTGCCTTCTTACTTTTTCACGGAAAAAATGCACACCAAACGTAGTTTTGTAATGGTTTATTTGATATTAGGTATTATCATGAGATAATTTTTTAACATACTAATAAAAAAGAGACATGTATACAGTTTTTTTAATTTTAATTTTTAAATTTTTTATTTTATGTTTAATCAAATAAAAAAAATTATAGATACAATATTAAATATTAAATTAATTTATAAATAATTAAAATAAATTTTTTTTATTATTTTACATTTTTTAAAATAAAAAATAAAAAAATTAAAACTAAAAAAACTACACGTTTCTTTTCTATTAAGCTACTAGGCGCTGGCAGCATCTAACATCAACTGCATCCCTTAAACCCCCGCTCGGCGTGCTCGCTGTCCCGACCTTGTACCATGTATTAACGTCTCTAGTTCTTGTCAGTCCAATGGACATACCCTGTCTGTCACAAGGGGGCGGAATTTTTTCACTCTTCCATCGAACCATAATCCCCAGCCAAAGGCTAAACTTCTAAGCTTAATTTCCAATTCGTTTTCACGTAAAGCTCAAAATTCATATCTAATTCGTATGCGTTAAACCCTGCCTGAAAAGCCATGCGAGTTCTTCACAAACTGGTTCGTAAAACCCTGAAACCACTCGCACTGCAGAACAAATATCCCATCCCCGATCTCCCCAGCTCTGCCGCCTACGATGAGCTCGTCTGCGCTGCCGGCCGCGACCGCGACTACGTTGCCCTCCGCCACCTCCTCAACAAGCGCATCAGCGACGGCTTCTTCAACACCACCAACACTTTCAAGTTCATCTCCACTGACCTATCCGTGCTCGAAGATCTTACCGAAGCCCTATCGCAGATCGACGAAGGCTTCGCCGAAAGACGGCGTACGACGCCCTAATTGCTCATCTCTCGAAGCTCCACCGCATCGACGAGGCCCTGCGCGTGCTCGACGGGATGGTCCGGAACAGATTCGGTGCGAATGCGGTCACGTTCCACCCGATCCTCAACGCTCTCACGAAGAAGAAGAAGATGGAGGAGGCATGGCGAGTGGTGGATCTGATGAGAGAGATCCAGATCCCGATAGATCTTACGGGCTACAATTACCTGCTCACGGCGTACTGCCACGCCGGAGATCTGACGTCAGCTGCCGAATTGCTGACGAAAATGGAGGAGGAGGAGGGGCTGAGGGCGGATACGAGGACCTACGACGCTCTCGTCCTGGGAGCGTGCAGGACTGGGAAGGTGGAGGGTGCTCTGGCAATGCTGAGGAGGATGGAGGAAGATGGCGCGCCGCTGCTGTACGCTAGCCACGCTCATGTTATAGGGGCGATGCTGAGTGTGGGCTACTATGAGCAGGCGGTGGAGTTTGTGATGAGCTATGGAGGGAGGGATGAGGGATTGGACGAGCAGAGCTTCGGGCTTCTGGCGAGCCGTCTGATTAATTTGAAGAGGTTCGATGAAGCAAGGTTTGTGGTTCAGGAGATGAAGAGGAGGGGAATAAAAATGGGTGATAAATTGAAAGAATTTTACTATTCGCACGTCACAGTGTAACTATACCAAATACAACTCAAATTTTTGACTTTTATTTTTTTTGGTCCGGATTTTATCTTATTTTTTGATATTTTTGCTAGTTGATTTATCTGTGAAGGACGGCTTTCAACCTGATCTCCTACTAGTGATCCTGGTTGCTGCCCATCACGATTTGGATTTTCCAAATGGGTAAAGTATAAGTCTGATTTTACCTCAGAAAGATTTAGAAGCATAATGAGTTCTTTTTTTCCTTTTTTTAAAAAATTTGGTTAATTGAAAAGAGACACAATCATTTCAAGTGCTCCCTCTTTCTCATTACTGCAGTTACTCCAAGCTTTTCACTAATGAATAAGCAATGCGATGTTAATAGAAAAGGAGCTACTTGCTAAAGAAACAAACTCGTATGAACGAAATGTCCCAGAAAACTTGGAACAGGTCATATATGGAACCATTGAGGAGTTGGAGCTTGGAAAGAAGTACATAATTCTCATGGAACTTGGTCCCCTTTTTCCTCAATTTGATCATGGACCTAACTCAAGGGCATGGCTTGTGAATGAACTTGAGACATAGAATATGGTGGGAAAAACATAACTGGTGATACAACAGACAGCTTTATTCTCAAGCTTCAGTAAATTTAAATCCTCAAGAAAATTTCAGTAAATTGTACTTACAGGACAGTATCCACGCGAGATGTCTTCTCATAATTTGGTTTTATAAAGGAAATGATGTTTTTTCTTTCTTTTTTTTTTTTTTTTGATGTGAATTCTTCTTCTCAATCCATATTCAAATGTTAACAGAGATCAATGAGGATTTCAATTGAGAAATAATGTAACCATGCACCTGGGATGATTACAGGGGCTCCTTTATGGGAAACTACCCCAATTTAACCTAATAAAAGGTGCTATAATATTATAACCGCACATAGAAATTCACTTCAACAAGCAATGAAGAGCTAAAGAAACAAATTCAGATAGAATTTGATTGCTTGTATCCTATCAAATAGTTTTTCTGCCTATTTAGTCCAAATTTTTTGTGCAGAAACATCATACAGCTGCAGCACCAGTTGTTGCAGATTTAGAAGAGATGCATTGCCATGCTGACACTTTTCTTTGCTTTCTAGGCTAGGTACAAAATTCACTTTGCTCCTTACCTTACTATTTGCCTGTTTTTGTCATATGAAAATGAAAAATTTAGTACGAGTAGGCTCTTGATTTTTCCAACTATTAAATGAGTTAATTCCAGCAATTGAGAGAACTTTGTCTATAATCTGGAAGAAACTTGAAACTGGTTCAACAGACGATTGTCAGAGCCCTGAGAGCGTATCGCAATCTATATGCTGTGCAGGATTGCTTGGAAGGCAGGATGATATATCCAGTAACTTCTTCTTGCCACTATGTGGATTAGAACTATGTAAGTTAGTGCCCGTTGTGGTAGATATGGCGATGGGCAGCTTGATGAATGCCATGCTGCAGGATATACCTGGATGGCTTTACCTGTTAAAAGATTGTTGAAGTTGCTATAACCTAATTTGTTTTGGGTTGATGAGTGTCTTGTGAAGGTAAGAGATTCTAGCGGTGGTGAATTATGCTTTGTCTAATGAATCTCATAACCAGCTGCCTCTCTTTTTTGCAGGCAGATTCTTTGGTTGATGGGCTCAATGTTTCAAGGATACCACTTGCCGCAGAGTGCTTAGGCCCCAGAAGCCTTTATGTATATGACAATGGTTTTCGGTTTATAGTAGGTTTTTGTAGAATGATTTCACCTGATATAGCTATGAATCTTCTGGGAGGAGACTTTGCTACATACTTTTCAAGGGTATTTTTTTTTTTAATTCCAAGAATCTGTACACCATATTAAAAAATATCAGTTTACTAACAATCAAATTGTTCATGTAGTATTATTATTATTTTTTTGGGATGTTATTGCTCTGATTCTGCATTAGTTGTGATTTTTCTGAAAGGGTATTGTTTTGGATCTTAATCACCAGCATTGAGCATTGAGTGGCAGATTGATGTGGTGTCAAAAATTGGACGATCTTGAAGTCTAGGTGTTGATCAGGCAACAAATTTCTTCTTTGAACATGAAGAGTAAAAGCAAAAATTGCAGTTTTCATCTAAAATACTAGGTTACCAGAGCATAGCAGGAAAACAATAAAATGATAAAATTTTAAACTTAAATATTTGTGTTGTCGAATTCATTTCAAAAGTGGCCATGCAGGTATGTGCGGCACAAAGACTCTTGTATTAGTTTACAAATCACTTTTTAATATTAGTTAATCCTTTGTTTCACATTCCTTTGGTTTACTGGCAGTTGACCATGCGTGTCATGGTTTTGATTGGACTAGGTAATTGGCACCAAGTTAGCTATAAAAGTAAAAGCTTGCTTTTTTGTTCTTTTGTTTCATTATTTTTCTTATTTTTCCAACCCAGCCTTTTTATTTATTTATTTATTTTTTGGGGGAGGAGGTGGGGGAGGGGGGGATGGAGGGTGGTTGGGGGAGACTTAGAAGATGCTTAATTAATGTCTAAACGGTTCATTCTGTGATTTGAGTATAACGGATTTATGATGTTGGTGGGACACTGTTGGCAACCGTTTCTTTTTGTTTTATGCCACATTGACTGTAGTTGCACTTTAAGATACAGATGGCTTTAGGACCAAGATGATGGACTCTGCATTTTCTTCTGATGTGCCAGAATTTAGTCTAACTGCATACTAGAATTTTTTTGGGCATGGCTGAATAGCAAAATTCTTCAATTATGCAAAAGGTTTAGTAAATTTGGAAAATTCTGATAATGATACTGTCTCCAATTTATGAGATTTGGTTTTGAAAGTTTTGATGTTATTTGCTTCTACCTTATATTTTGAATGTTAGTGATTTTACATTGCTAATATATGTCTATGTATATGTAAGTTTGTGTGATATATGTATGCACATGCATGGGCGTGCACACACACACTTAGTACTTTGTTAAGTATGTTCGGTTATTTCCATGCGAGTTATGGAGCTTCAAAAAATTGGGTGCTAAAAGTTTTTGGGTTGTTATTGGAAATTTGGACTTGAAATTGTTTCTCTTGCTGGAAGCAGATCACCCATTTTAGGATGAATTGTTAGTTGATGTGCCAGATATATGCCTGGCATGTAGAAACTACAAATAATTTTGTATGCTTAATTTGTTCTGTTCTTTGTGGGTCGTGTCAAATCGCCCATTTTAGGATGAATTGTCAGTTAATGTGCCAGATATGCCTGGCATGTAGAAACTACCAATAAAGTTGTATACTTTATTTGTTCTGTTGTTGGTGGGTCCTGTCTTCACCAAGAAGCTTATTATGCTGAAAAAAGGGTGCTAAGAGTCTTGGGCATTTTTTTATATCGGAAATTTGGTCTTGAAATAATTCTTTTGCTTGAAGTAGATGTCCATTTTAGGATGAATTGCCTGTTAATGCTCCAGATGTGCCTGGCATATAGAAACTATCAATATTTTTGCATACTTAATTTGCTCTGTTGGTGAGTCCTGTCTTCAAAGCTTCTTATGCTGAAAATGCCATGGCATTTTAATTTAAAATGCTGAAATTCCGACCAAATTCCCGTCATGGCCAAGACTGTTTGGGGAGGGTGAGATACAAAGAGCCTTTTGCCTGCATTTTGAGACACAAAAGGGTTTTTATGATAACCAAGTCCCATGACTCCAAGGTTGCAGTGCAGCAAACCTCTACAAGTAGCACACCTGGCTCACCCTTTCACCCTCAAAAAGAAGACTTTGACTACTAATGTTAAATTCTTCTAGATGTCTGTAGACATAAAACTAGTTACTTGGTCTTGTTCTTGGAGGATATTGGTTACATATTTCCAATAAAATGGATAAAGCAGAGGGTTTCCCTTGATTTTCCATACTTTTCACTGGAAGGAAGACACCTCTTTAAAGCTTACGGCAAGAATGAACTATTTATTGCTTAAGGGGAATTTGTTTTTGCCTTGTATCTTGGTTACATATTTGTACATATGCCCAATAATGAGGACCTGCTTCAAGCTTGAAGTATTTTTTTCCCCCTTTATTCTGCTAATTTTATTTGTTCATTTTACTGTTTGTTGAAAGTGTTTCAGATATCTGCTGCGGTTGGCATTTAGTTATCTATCTTTTTCTTGGAATAAATGTGAACAGTTGGAGTGACCACAAATTTATTGTCTGTCTCTCAGCGGTACACAATTGTGTTTATGAAAGTGAAATCTTTGTCAGCACATAGATGTTTTCTTTTGTTATTTTCTCCGGGTTAATCTATGTGAGTGTGATAGTGAAATATTGAAAAAACTGATGAGCATACTGAAGAAATTCCTTATTATCAGCAATGTCATCTTGTGGGACAAGCTGAACGGCCCAGAGGAGGTTACTTTCGGCTTTCAGATCTTATTGAGGATGAAGTTGGTAGTGCAAATGGCTATGTTGATTGGGTTCTGCAAATAACCGACAGGTGTATGAACATGTCCTGTGGATAATGCTAGTTGTGTTTTACCTGAAATGTGTTAGAGGTAAACCTGTTTGTTTTGTATATATGGATAGGTGAAAAATATTGTCTGAGAAGATGTGGATAGATGCGTGCTAAAAAGATGGCCTAAAAATTATTTGCCCAAAGGCAAGAATTTCCTTCACATAACAACCTAATTAGATCTTTCAATTGTCTTTCTGAGACAGGGCGTCTGTGGTTAAGGCCCAAGGATTTAATGTTAAATTTCATTTGGGTTTTCATTTGATATAATATTAGCTTAAGTATTGAGAGGTGTTAATGGTGCTCATGTTGAGGCTGATCCCATCCAAAGACCTTGAGTGTCCTAAGACATGTTTTAGTTGTAGGGCACTAAGGGTATGGTAGTCAAAAACAAAGCAGGGTGATCTGTGGCTGTAGACTATTAGAAAATGTGTAATTTCCTTGAATTTGTGTGATATGCAAGTCACATTATAATTGGATGGCACACACTTTGTATTTATGGTGAGACAAGGTAAAAGTATCGGAAAAGTGGGTTTAGTGGATAAGATGTAGTATCTAGCATAAATTTTACGTACTTAACCTTCCTTCAATTTTTTTTTTTTTTTTTGGTCTGTTATTTACAAAACTGACTATAATGTTTTTGTTTTGTCCACACTTTATCCTCAGTTCTAATCTCATGAACTGCTTAAATGAGAAGATTGATGAAGGTGTCTTCTCTGTAAGGAATTGTGAGACCACCACCCATAGGTTGAGTGAAGTTTAATTCTTTTTCAACCTCATGAATCAATTTTAGGATAGAAGTTTGTTCAAGTATGGCAGGAACCAAATATCTTTACTTCTGTGCCTCTCAAACATAAAGTGCAAGATGCCTTTTGGGACATCTAAGACATTTGAGACAGCTCGGCTTGCAGGAGCAATGTATCCGTGGAGGAAGATCTAAGCATGAATAACAATACCAGGCAATCTGATGCTTATGATTTTCTACAGATTTCGGGAGAAAATTCTAAATTAGCTTGTAGATCAGAGAAGACTTTGATACAAGGGAAATGCAATGATTTGCATGAACTTATGATGCATGTTTCTTTCAAGGACTAAGCAGTAGTTTCTCTTCCAGATTTTGTGTCACATATTCATCATCTAGCAAACCCTGTGCCTTGGATTGCATGTTTATTAAATTTGTGGTCATAAAAACAAAGGCCGTCTATGGTATGTGTGTTACCAGCAAGCAAAATAAGCTTAGTATGAGATAACTGACATAACAAGATTTAACTATGTGAGTGAGAAATTTTTCCCTCTACCATCTAACGCTAATCCCTAGCAAAAGGACTTTTCAGCTTACTTTCCAATTCATTTTCACGTAAAGTTCAAAAATTCATCTCTAATTCCTGTGCTGGTTCAGAACTCTTCAGTTAAAATCATCCTCTGATTCGATCACAGCGTCCTACTTGTGATCCTAGACATTTGCTTTTTATTGCACAAATTATTTTAAAGAGGGCCTCACAGATCTACATAGTTCAATATAAAAATTGCCTTAGAAAGCACACAATTTTCCCTTATAGTAATCTGCTAATAGTTGAAGCCTTCAAGGCTTTTGATGAAATATCCATGTGCTTTGATTAAAATGTGCAGAGGCTAAAGAGTATGGAAGAGGGAATAATAGAGATTACTGATTAATTTGCTGTTCTTATTTCCATCCCCTGTTTCCTCTGACGTATTGACACGATATGGCTTTTATTATCCTTCAAAAGCGAATTATCCCGTAATGGACTTCCTCGTCAGCCTGTCTAACAAGTTGATGCATTATCCGGAAACAGCGTCATCATAAGCCTTCAATCCCCATAACTTTGATCTACTAGTTTTACGCTGGTTTGAACCATGTTGAGTATCCAAAAGCATACCTATATACTGACACTTCAACTTTAGTTAGTTTCTCCACTGCACTGGTTTATCTTTCGGCAGATACGGTTTAGAACCATTTGGTGCTTATATTGAATTAAAAAAGAATATAAATGACTTAATTTTATTTAAGCATAACTAACCAGCATGTTAGCCAGTGAATTTTCTTTCTTATATACCAGGAGGCCAGCCCTGTCTCTATAATTTCATTAGGATCTTCTTCTGGCTATGCTGATGGCAGGGCAAGATGTTTTCCAATTAGAATACGGCATGGTCCATCACTCTAAATTGATGATGGTGAGTAGGAAGTAAAGCCATGTGATCCTTCATAGGATTTTCCTACAATTTGCATACTAGATCTATATATTTGTGCATACCAGTGATTCTGCATCCAACACAAGCTCCACATTCTTCCTATGCTTCTTTCAGGTGTTATATACCTAATTCCAACCGTGGCCATTCTCATGCCTCGTGTGATTCATGCCAAACAAATCCTTAAGAGGTCTATATTGTTGGGAAAAATGAAAGAATTACGGCAGAAGCAAATAAGCAGTTTTCCCCTTTGTGCAATATAAAATAAACTAAGAAGAACTAATTTATATAATCAATCAA